GCATCAATTGGGCGATACCTTTATATCAAGAGGCAAAGAACAAGGCCTCAAATTCAAGGTGTAAGGTGAGGGTGAGGCAAGTGTGTACCTGTCACAAACTAAAGACACTATATTTTGCAGCAATAGTTAGAGAACATTTATTTCATTTATACTAAAACATATACATTAATACTATGCCCTCCATCCCTAAAAAGCCAAATGTATTGCCCATTTTTAACGAAGTTGTCTGGTGAAAGTCATTGGTTAGTGAAGATTTAATAAAGAAGCTTTTGCTTTATACTTCCATTGTTCCATATTCCTACTTGCAACATAGCACTTAAGCAAGCATTTTAAGGAAAAGAATTGATGATGTAAACGAGCATATCAATCAAAATAATTGAAGCTCAAGCAACTGAAGCAAGATGGATACTATATGCGATCGATGTAAATTTTATTTTGATTAATTTGATCGTTTAAACCCTCAAATCTCTTCCTTAAAACGTATGTCAAAGTGATACATTGCAAGTATTATGTTACTGAGGAAGTATTAGTTCTATTTGGGAGAGGATGTGAAGCAAAATTTTAAATTAAATAAAAAGAAGAAAAAATGGGATTTAGGTTACTCTTTATTACATTGAGTGGACCCAGCATCCCTAGCCACAAAAAGAAGAGGGCATTCCTTTTGGAACCGACTAAAGTGGAAATATGACTAACTCTTTTTGGGATGAGGGGAGTATCTTATTACATTTTTATTCAATTTTTCATAAGCTAAACATGGAGAGGAGCCAAACTTAAGTGATGGGTTTTGGTCACATGAGTTGTTTGGGAAGATTAAGGTGCCCGCCTCTACCCATGTGATGTTGACATGCTTAATTGAAGTAAGGGCATTGCAGTGTGACTATGGTATGTGTCTCACTGTTAAACTCATTCATTTCATAAAAATTGCAAGATGATACGTCAAGTGTCAATATTCATGTTAGAGTACTCAAGAAAAGAAAAGCTCAAGCATCACAGGAGACACTAAACATTCCCATAAACTCCAGAACAAGATTACTACTACTGTTGTTTTCTTTTCCTACTTGTTCCACTTTGACACTGTTCACATATCCTACTTGACCATATCACTTTAACTAATATTTACAACAATAATTCATTACGTAAAGATGTTATTGCCTTGTCTGAGAGGTAATAAACTATCCTTCATTCATTAATTGGTACTCATAAACTACATAAGAGGCTATTCTATAATCAAGACATCATTTAAGAATCTGATAGAGGGAAGAAACTACTCTGTATTCATATACAAAAAAGCTGTAAGCTTTGTCACAAGGACCTATGTATAGCTTGGTACAAAGTAACATGATTCCATTATTACACAAAATGGTAAGCTACAATGCCAACAACATAAACTTATCTTCTTAATGAAAATTGTTTTCTAATCAAATCCTCAGGTAGGGGCTAACGAAATTGGAACGTTCACCAAAAGTTTATCCCTCTTACCAACAACAATGTCAATCATGTTGTGGTTGTACATTTTTTTCCTCAAGCGATATAGAACTACTTCCAATTTCATGTGCATCATTACTAATAAGCTAGAAGTAGCAATCTACAACTTCCCCTGATATCCTAAATTAACATCTACTCTACTTGCCAAAAGTTATTGTGCCTGTTTCATGGGAAGTTGGGGAAGCATAATCTATAAGCTTCATTATCTTTTCATATATCAGTTTCAAACCAGATTATTGAGCTATCATTTTCCCACAAAAGAGGGAACAGCATTTTGTACTTGAACTTCACAAGGAATCCTCTTCACAAGGCGTTTACCCAAATATCACATCTCCTAAAAACCCAAATATCAGACCTCCTAAAAAATGTCCTCAGTACAGAGCTTATTCTAAATCATCACTTCTCTTGAAAAAAGAATACTTTTCTCATATCAATAAGCCATAATTTCTTAAAGGGGAATTTCCCTATCTCCAAATGTGAAAGTTCTAAAATTCCAGCTCAACTTAACGATATAATGATATCAAACACTCCTCTGAAGACAATTTTTGCCACTCAAATTCCAATAAAACACCAACTCGACGAAGATAGAACAAAAAGATCCTTATATTTTTCAGTCAAGACAAACTATTGCCACCATTGACCACATTTCAAACACACTTCACAGTGTACACTTATAGTCTAACTAAAATTTTTGTCAATTGCAACACTTGGACAATAAAAATCAATAATTTCACAAATTTACTCAGATAGAACAGAAAGCATTATCATGCAATTAAACAATAATAGAAAGTTCCCATTCAAATTAAACTTGATTTCATCATTATAAGCTCAAACCCCACTCCAATTTAACCAATTAAATTCAAAATTAGCAGTTAATACCAGAAAAATATCACTATAATCAAAATTAATTTACTAAAAAAACCCAATCAAACCCACAAATCAATCCACTAAACACTGAAAAATCACGAAACCCAGATCAAAATTGAGGCGAAAACAAAGATCAAAACGACTAACCGCGAAAAGTATGATAGCAACAACAGCTTGAACAGTCTGTTGAAGAAGAACACCCTTAACAACAGTAGATTTCGAGACCAAATTCTTCTCATCTTCATCCTTTCTCGAATGCAAACGATAATTATCAAAAGAACCAAACATCAAATAAATCCCAGAGTATACCCAATACACAATAATCGGCGCAAATGTCCCCAATATCTCATCGGAAACCTCAAATTCAGCACCCATCATCTTCATCCTTTTTCTCAAAAAATGAAGAAGAAATATAAAAAATCTTCAAAAATCTGGGGAAAATCGCATACCCAGGAAATAATTAATGTCGATTAATGCAAAAATTAATGGGTAATTATGATCTGACCCAGATAATACGACGGGTGAAGGAGACAGGGCTTGGAATTATGAAGCTGGATCAAATGATTTGACTGGAAAAAAGGAAATTATAATTTGTGGAATTTGATTCCAGAGAGAGTAGGAGAGAGAAAGTCAGCCACGATAAAAGGTGAAAGAGATGAGTTGCTGGTAGTTAGGGTTTTATAATTAAATTGGGGAAAAATCAAATAGGGGAAGAGTCAATAAAATAAAAAGTACCTAGTCAGATCAAACTATCGATATTACGTGGACGGTATATGCATACTCAAATACTCTGTATGTTGATACGGAGTAATTGTATGTCAATGATTTCATATGGTACAAAGTAATACTTGTAAAAATCAAAAAGTAAAGGTCAATGAAAATATATCGTATAATAAACCCTGTTCACTTTACCTTTATTCTAGATAAGTGAAATTATTTTTGGTAAATTGAAATTATTAAAGTGATATTATTTTTACTGGGGTAAAATTATTTTTAATAATATTTTTTTTTTTTAAGGTGAAGTGAACAATTTGAATAGGGCCTAATATTGGACCAGAACTTGCCGATATTACATTGACGGTATATGCATATAGAGTATGTCGGTAGGTAATGGGTCGATAATCAATCAATTTGATACAATTAATTTGAAAATTAGAAGAGAGAGATGATGAGATATTTGTTTCTAGAAACTGTGGTTTTCTATGGTTGGTATTGGTATTATTATGATAAGAAATAGTGGTAAATTAATCTAGAGGTTAATAAACTGAATAATATTCAAAAGATGTAAGGCGGAGAATATTTGGGTTGGAGCTTGAATAATTTGATTATGTCGTCGTAATTGACTGGGTTAGTTTTGGTTGAAACTTGAAAGGTATTGCCAGTGACTTGGGGCATCACGTAAGGAGTACATAATTGTACGCAATACACTACATCTACATGTGACTATGTTAGTGTTGTAATGGTGACATACTGACATTGCTACTAGGCCTACTACTGAAATTTACTAGTACTTGTACTTCCCTACTAATCCCTAGTTGTCATACTCCATATTTGACTAAACTCGACAAGAATAATCTCGTTGGTTTAATTTTGTGCTAAAACATTCGGGTTTTTTTAATTAAGGATAATGATACTTGTATACAAAGTACCTACTCTGTATATAGATGGAGATGGCACTATCGATCCAGCACCAATCAAGGACATCAGAACATCACTATATGAGCAAGAATTAGGCATGCAAGACGGACTACTGTGTGGCAATTGTAAGTTGAGCTTAGACTGTGTTATTTCAGAATAAGTTAAATTTAGCTTAGACACCATACAAAGGCATGTGGACTTTGATCCTTGGCGTTCTATAGAAATTTCCACACCTCATGACATGACATGTAGCGGGTGGGCTTAGTCATGGGCCAAGCTTAGTCAAACACAAGGCACGCAAGCCCAACACACAAGTTGGTTAGCAACTTCCTCTATCTTATAAGTGTTACTTCCTAAAAATTTATTAATCATACAACTTATCGTGTCCCACTTTTTAGGAAATTTCCATTTTCCATGTATTGTTATATCTACTAAACAAATATTTATGTTACACTATAATTCGCACATGTTAGTATGTGGTATTTTTGAATACTTGTATTTACTTTGAAACAAACCTAACACAATCTCATGAAACAATTCTTTTCTTCTGTAATTCACTGAATACAATCAACATTTTCTTAAGTTAGCCGCTTGAATTTTTTTGTTTGTTGAGGGAATTGTGGATTTAATTTTTAATATCAATGTAATAACAACTCTTTAGTCTATAAGCACAACATTAAAAGAGTATTTGAGTCCAAACTAGATCTACTAATCAGATTCAGACTGCAATTGTCTGGTAGTAAAACATGATTTTCCTTGAATAAAACATGAGCTGTAATGTAATTGTTTATACTTTGGCGGTTAGTATAGTGGATTCTTTTATAAATGATATAAACCTGTGAAAAGCTCCAATATTAATGATTGAACCCTGTCAACTAGTAATAAACCCTAAATGATTTGATAACATTTCAGAATCTAGCACATGCATAACATTCACTAAAAATGGATTCACCCATAATTTCTTAATTAAATTATAGAAAACAATCTTATCTATACAGATTTATAGAAAAGAATAGAAGAACCAGATGTTGCTTAGGCTCATGTATGTTGACTGGCAGATGAATAATTTTATAATTATATCAGCTTTGTCATGTTAAATACTTAAATTTATATGTTCTGTACATTGTAACATGAAAGTTCAGCAACAATTACACCTTTTGTAGAAGTGGATGAGAAATCAGAATCATATAGCAGATAAAAACCGAATCCTCGCCTCTTCGAACAGAAAACAGGTGTTATGAGCAACTTCAAATTCTAAAATCTTGACACCGGACAAAATTGTGGACATAGCTATGTAACCTTCAAATCCTGAGTATCACGAGCTATCGTTGGAAAGTTCAAGCGGGCTTGCTTTGTCCGCTTTGTAGTAACTGAAAAGGAATGTATGAAAAAGTCAAGAAACAGAAACATCATAATTAAGCTAGATTGTTCATCTTTCATAGCATTAGAATCTGAAATCATACCCTCTTTATCATTTTTCTGGTTAATTGATGAAACCACAGTTGATTTCCACTCCTCATAATCATGTTTCTCCATTCTCTTTCGTTTCTTGTAGCTTGAAGGCTGCAAGTAATATTAACGATGAATTAGACACATTACCAGCTACTGATTTAGAAGTAATAACTTTTCCAAGGTCAACTTATTAAATTTCTACCAGATATACTGTCTGATAGCTCTGAAGCAGCCAACGTGGCATCTATTGTAAATTTAAGAGATCCATTTAGACATAATAGAGAATATTTTAGTTAACCACATTACATTAAAAGATTTGCTTTTACTAAATTGGTGAAATGTAGAAAAAAATTAATTGCTTCAGTAGTTCAGTGCATGAGTCCTTTCACATGCTCATTATGATGTTTAATACACAAAACTGTGGAAGTTAACTCAGGTAAATTAACATCCACCTAGAAAGTGTGTGTGTGTTGTTGAGGGGGGGGGGGGGGGAATTGATCAACAGAATCATGTTTTATACTTATGGAGCAGGGGACTTGGGTGAGTTTGTGGAATGCCTCAGGTGGTCTGATGAACTTATTAAAACACTTAGTACCTCTCCACAAATCCAAATAACTATTATCAGCTTGGGTTCTTGCACAATCTAATATACTATGCTAATTGGAATCGTGTACACTAGCAGTCCTTGTATTAGTACACTAGTGAAACACAATCTAATATTCTATGCTTTTTAATTGAATTCTCTCTTTGTGTCAAAGCCCATGTTGAAATATTGAGGACCCAACAAAGGCACTTGAGGTGGTGAATTTTACAGTCCAAGTAACATAGCTAGTTCGATGTGGTTAGCTCTTGACTATATCTGTAACTTGATCTATATGTAAAAAGTACAAAAATTATTCAAAAGTACCTCATTGTCCTCATCAGAGGTATATCCTCCATCATCATATCCTCTTTTTTCAGGAAACGCATCCAATAGTTCTGTTAGTGGCAAAATATCAGAGCAATTCAGTTTAGTAAACCAAAAGACAAGTACTAAGAATTATCAAAAGAATAACTGAGTTTGTACCTCGGTTCCCTTTTACTTCTTTGGGGTCTTTTTTCTCTTTCAAAACTCCAAAAACATCATGACATAGGTCCTTCATCGAATTAGAAACCTACAATTGAATCTTCAACTATTAGTACACCCAAAACAAAGCAAGTTAAAAAAAGATTTCAAGGATGTTCAAATACACAATAGTGCTTACACTAGAAAATTCTGATTCTGAAGTGCCACAAAGCTCGATCAACTTAACTTTGTCAGCTTTAAGCTGTCAAAGAAAAACAAGATACAATTAGCAACGATTGCTAAAAGAAAACCAAACGCTCACATTACACTTATAGCACTGAAATGGGCTTGAACAAGAAGTGCATACCTTATGCTTCTTAGCACATAGATAAAATGCCACTGCCATAAACACGGGTCTACTGAAATCAGTGCTACTTCGCCTACTAACTGGGAGCGAAGCAAAGAATCGGGCTTTGTACCTAATAGTAATATCAACAAAGCACCACAATTAAAACTCTCAAACACAACAATTTATACACATTTTTACACACCCTAATTTGGCAACCTATGAGAACCTCATCTACAAGCTCAACGGCAACTGATAACACAATATACCAATCAACATAAATACCAAATTTACCAATTCAACCTATTCTTGAACAAGAAAACATCCCATTGAGGCATTTTATCAAACATTTGATGGGCAAATCAATAAAGTTCATGAATCCTCAAATTCTCATTAAACCCAGCAATTGCTCATTCACACAAACAACATTTTTCTGGAAATACTTACATTTTCAATCCTTTCTGCACAAAAGGAATAATCCTAACACATCCAAATTGAATTGCCAATTCTCTCACATCCAAATTATTCCTAAACAAAATCAAATCAAATTCGTTAAACCCCAAAACATCCAATCAAATCATAGAATAAATCAAACGTAAAAGAAACCCACTTGACATCAAGAACATTCTGCAAAGAATTAAACGATCTGGTATAAGCTTTCTCTGACATCCCACTCAATTTAATCGCACTTTGCCGATCAAATATAACTTCATATCTACAAACAATCCAACCAATAAATAAGCAATCCAATTAACAAAAATCAAAATTGATTATGGGGATAATAATTGGAGGAAAACCCACTTGTTGGCGGCAATTTCTAAGCAAATGATAGCCTTGCAAATCTCACCCTGAACATTAAAAAAACTGGGTTTCAACAATCTTAAAACTTTTTAAATGATGCTAAGAAAGAAATGCGAAAATGAGGAGAAATAACATACGATGCCGAGAGCAGATGAATCGAACTTGACATCGGAGAGACGGCGGAACTCAGCAGCTTTACGAACGACAGGCTTGTTACCGGCAAGGTCTAGCTTCTTTGCTATGTTAGTGATGTCCATTGATCGATCAAATCGAATATTAATAACAAATGATAATTAGGGTTTGAATTTTGTGAAGAGGGTTGATTGTTGAAAGAGGAGAAAGAAAATGAGGAATGAGGAAGGAGGTTGAAGGAGAAGGGTAAATAGAGGTAAAGATGGCGGGAATGAAAGCATTGTCTTTTGAGTTTTGAAATTTTTAGTTGGCGGGTGTTTAGTGGCGGGAGACTACGCCAAGCTATAATAAGCCATTAAGCCTATATAAGTTGGGAGTTGGACTATGTTGTAATTTGAAAGGAGGGGGTGGTTGAGCGGGTGTCAGTTCGGGTAATCGGATCGGGTTTGATATGGTCGGGTCGGGTCGGGTAAATTTTTATAGTTGAGTTTTATTAAATTATTATGTCCACGCGAGTCCAAATCTGAATCGGATATTTTTCGAATTGGGTCGGGTGTGCTTTTGACACCCCCGTGAGCCCATGTGTCAATGGGGCAGTGGATTAGTGGGATAGGAGGAATGTTTAGAGTGCGGTTTAGACAGTAAAATTTATAATTCGTACCAAATTACTTTTTTTTACTGTTTAAAATAACGGTTTACTTTGGAATTTTGACCAAATTGTGCTTTGCTGTCTACTGTCTACATATATTTCAAAACTAAATCGCATCGCAAACTCCAATTTATAAAGATTTGTGGTTCAAACTAAAAATTGCAAACATAAGTTGTATTTATTTGTTCTATAAAAGACATGTAACAAAAATTTACCATGATCATACCATTATCGCCTTGTTTGGCAATAGTATTTAAATTAGCAGTTAGCGTTTTGATTAGGTCAAAACACTATTACTACTACTATATATATAACAGAGGTAGTATATAGTATATATTTTGTCTGATAGTGGTTCATGTAACAGAGGTAGGGTAGTGGTAAAAGGAATTATATATATTTTTAATATCTATAGTAGATAGGCTAAGTTATATGAAGTATATGTTAACAACTATTTACCAAAAACTTATACTTCTTTTAGCATTGTAGAATACTTACCGACTCACATAGTCACATTGGTTGAGAATACTATGCTTCAAGTCTTCAACATACAATTTGCATGAGTGTTCATGCTAAATATGCTATAGTTGATTGCATTAGACTTTGACTCAAAAAGTGTATCATGCCTTGGTGAATGGCTGAGAGAATCTTGTATCATGTACATTATGCTGAAGAATGAGTGTTCATAGTCTTTGTACATGTAATCCGAGGGAGTTTAAAGGCATATGCATAAATAAAGACATATCAGTGGCAATTTTGTAAATAATAACAAATTGAAAGTACTACTTAGAGGAAAAAAGATACTACTAAACATTTTCAGTAGTGCTTTTCATGCTCCCAATAGTACTAAACACCTGTCATTAATACTACTAAACGGTAACACTGGTACTATTGAGAGGTGAAAAAGTTTGTTATGTAAATTAGCTTTGCATAATTATTATGTAAATTAGCTCTGCATAATTGTTATGTAAAAAGTTTTTTTTTTTTAATTTATTTTTGGTGTTAGAGAGACACAAGGGCAGGGGTGAGAATAGATTTCAGATCTCTTGGAACCGGGAGGAAAGCACTAACCACTTGAGTTATCTCTTACTCTTTGATAAGTTGTTAGGTAGTTGAGAAATTTGTTATGATTCTCAAGTTCATGACTTATATATAATAACATACATCTAGTTTAGCATTTCATCACACAACAATATAAATACATAATCTCCCTTACTCATTTCATTTTATATATATATATATATATATATATATATATATATATATATATATATATATATATATATATATATATATATGAAAACAATGATGAAAAATTTGTTATGGTAAACAATTGAGAGCCTTAACACTGTTCTATGCTTAAGCTTGATATTGGATAACAATGACAATCCTAATTCTATTGCCCGTCATGTCTCATCCGCAAAGGTTCTCTCTCTCTCTCTTTCTATGTCTTGTTTACTACTTGTGTTACAAATTAATTCATTAGTTTATTACTAATAGTAAGTATATGTAAATTAATTCATTAATTCATATGTACTCCTCTATAATCTATATATCCCTTTTAGCATGTTGTATACTTACTTCACTATCTTTTATTATCAAGTACTGTAGATGAGTAAGGGACTAAAGAAAAAGTTTTTACATGGTTTCTAGATACTCAGTATTTCATAGCATGTTGTATCGCCAAATCGACTTTGATTTGAAACTTATCAATACTTTGTATATAATATAGTTTTAAAAACATTTACAAAATGTAACTTGTGGAGCTGTCAAGTTATTCATGAATTTTGGCAATTTTTCACAGCCTTGAGGCAGAGCTTGTCTATACACAAGATGATGACGGTGGAGACAATGATGAACATCATGAGGATGAGCATGACGATGTTGAGGATGATGAAGACACAACCGATGAGGATGCTCGACAAGATTTCGAGGATGATGGTCCCAATGAAAGCGATATTGAGGCTGAAGAAAATGACAGTAACTCAAATGATAATTGCCCTGAATATGACAAAGAAGAGGAGGTCAAGGATGAAGAGGAGGAAGGCAACGACAAAGAGGAGGAGGAGGAGGAGGAGGACGATGAAGAGGAGGAAGGCAACGATAAAGAGGTGGTGGAGGATGAAGAGGAAAAAGGCAATGACAGAGGTGGTGGAGGATGAAGAGGAAAAAGGCAACGATAAAGAGGTGGTGGAGGATGAAGAGGGGGAAGGTGACGACGAAGAGGTGGAGGAGGATGAAGAAGAGGAAGGTGATGACAAAGAGGAGGAGGAAGGCAACGACGAAGAGGAGGATGAAGACTAGGAAGATATGAAGAACGAATAGGAGGATCAGATCATCAAATGATGAAGAGTAGTACATAGATGACAACTATATGAAGGAAAGTTGCATCTGTTCAGATTAGACATTAAATGTTACTAGGAATGCCTTCTCTCGAGGTCAAATGATTAAACCCTAAACTAATTTAAGCAAGAGACCAAGACGAAAAAAAAAAAAAAAAAAAAAAAAGTTAATCTTGGGCAAATTCTGATGGTCTTGATATCACTGCGCAATATGCTACACAATTTGCTTCAGGATATATAGGGTGGAAGTGTCCTATTCAGAGTGCATAAATAAAGTATCCAAATTGCGCAATAACAAGCTTTCAAGGTAATTGAAAATATCACAACAGTTAACATGAGAGGCATCCATGAACCAATTTTCAGATCTTTCACACAATGACACGATTTCAATTTCTACAAGATCAAAAACATGTCTGAGCTTGAAAATTATAACCTATGGCGAAGTATATTATCCTTGCGAACACCACTTGAATTGACATGTCCATGTATATTGATGTTGATGTTGGCCATTATTCTGTCCCACTCGTATCAACCAACTGATAAGCAAGTGATAAAAAAAATGTAAGGTTAAGTTCAACCCCTGAAAGCGAGAGAGTGAAAGAGAAAGAAAGAAAAAAAGTTGTAGGAAGAATGTGGTGGATTACCAAGGCGCCAACTCTCTCATAGGCTTCCATAACTTTTGGATCCTCCTCATCTTCATACCCTAATTGCAAAATCCTTGGACCATTTACTGACCAAAAGGCCCTTCGACCAGCTTCCTGCAAATACAATCAGACTACAATGCTTAAAATGTTTTCCAAACATTGAGGTCTTCACTCTTCCAACAATAAAAAAAATAAGTAAAACAAAAAAAACAGTTGAAAAGAGGCAGCATATCCAATTTTATGAGATGATATATATCTGTAATGGGAACTCAGTAAAGCTAATAAAATAACACTCACTACTTACTACTGTGCCTTGTGTACCTTGAACAGTTGAACTCTTCATTTTACCTCAAGTATCCATGTCGGATCCTCAATACTGGACTACTTGTACATGAATAGGACACTTCCACCCTTTACTCTTGACCAAATTAAATAATGATTTTTTCATGAAATAGCCAAGTCACACACTGACAAACTTGGACACATATCCAAGTCAAAGCAACTTAAGCCTTGGAATAATTCGCGTTCACTAAAGAATTAGAAGGTAAATTCAGTCAAGAGAAAATGAAGGGACAGAGGACAACAGCTAGTCTTCGGGGGGCATTAAATATAATGTAAGAAAGAGCCAATGCAATTCCAAGAAAATATTATGTTGTATCCATCCACTCTCCTATTGTCCGGTTATGCTCTGCTGGGTAAAAGGGGAGAGGGGAAAGCTCATTCTATCACCTTTCTTCAGATAAGGGACTATCGATCTTACAGAAAAAATATTAAAATATTTATAAAAAAAAAAAAAAAAAAAAAAAAAAAAAAAAAAAAACATTTTTTGGTGAGTAGACAAGTGATATTACAACCTAGTGATTCATGTAGGCTAGTAAGTACTCAGTAGTTGCATAAGGTCAACATAGAAAACACAGGTTAGTATTTTTTCAGTAAAACATTTGCATTTTACCTGTAAGACAATCAGATAAATTGCCTCTAATGTCTGAACACGAATCTCAACATCAGTAACTCGATCACGCTCAATTGAGAGAGCATTTCCAAGTTCACAAGGCATCTTGGATGTGTCCTCCTGGTTATATACCTGAAGTAAAAGGCAAAATACAAGCAAATGAAACTTAAACAATTTATAAGACAAACTAAGGAAATAAACATATGCTGTACAAAGTTAAAATGAGGCAAAATCAAATACTATCTCATGAAAAGGTAAAAAATGGCCAACATACTGACCTAGACAAGCACAGGCTGAATGTATATACTGTTCTCGTCCTATATTAACCTTTCCACTTCCCTTTTTGAGAAGTCCCCGCTCCCCAAACAAAAAGCTTCTCATTGAAATTTTCAGGGTAAAGTCACTTTCTCCATAACATCAATTCTAGTCTCTATCACTATAACTTCATACTACTTTAAACGCAATTTCTTATTATTAATGCCACTTAGAGTTACTTTTAACATATCTTCTTATTATTGGTGCCACTTAGAAGTGAGAAGTTGAGTACATCTTACAGTGAGCAGTTTGGTTAACTGAAAGTGCAGAAAGTTTAATGCTAGATTCATAGCTAAACCTCTACTGTATGTGACATTTATTATAAAGAATTTTAAAGGAAGATAAAACTACTGATTAGAAGCATCAGATATTCAGATTACCCTACAGAAAAGCATCCATAAACAACAAACATAGGGAGTTTGATGCGAAGTAAATCAATGACAACAGCCTCATAAAACAAGAGATGAAATTCAACAAGCTACACCATGAGTTACCTTGTTTCCAGCAACAGGCAATAGAAGAGCCGGCCACAGAAATTCTGATGTTAACAGCAAGTTTGCCAATTGATTTTCAGCATCAAAGCAGCAATTTCGGATAGTCCCTGAGACCTGATTGCAAGAAATAAAAAATTTACTGCTGATAAATAAAAATAAAAATAAAAACTCTTTAACCTAATAGGTGTTGTCTGATCATGTTCCTTTTAACATGAACTTGTTCTACTTCTTAATTAGAGGTCCAAGCAAATTAGATGCATTCTAAAGAAAATTAAATCTTTCAGGAAACAAAAAAGATCATCAAACTAAACAAATAAACTTTGAAGAAACCTTATACATCCCATTTAGCCCCTCTGATATAATATTATAATGTAATAATAGCATTAGTAGACTAGTAGATGCCTCTATTTATAAATGTAATAATAGCATATCAGACCTGACATGAATATAGTTTCACGACTTTCCAATGTTTGTGCATCTATTATTCCATTAACTGAAAAGCAGTACTCAAATCTCTCAATTACAGGGAGATGCTTTGAAACTGGAGTCTCAATCTTAAGCATTTTCAATATTATCCAGCTATAAGATATAAAAAGACTTAATTAAAGCACCAAGTAGACGAAAGCATGAAGTCATCAACAAAGAGATAAAACACTCAAATTTGTTTAACATACCCCCCTTTTCCGTAGTAAACTGGTCGAGTCAAATTGCATAATTATCTGCTTTAAAAGTCCACGTTTGGGATCCAACAAAATTTTCCTTCCTGCTTCTTTCTTTGAAATGTTCACAAGTATAGAGCCAACATGCTCAAATGGATCATCTAATAACACATGCAGCACAACAGAGATGTCAGATGCCAACAATGGGGAAAACATACACAGCAAAACAGATAAAAAGCACAAAAAGAAATAAGTGATGAGGAGAAAGAGAATCAAGAAGAAATCTTAACACAAGAAATTTGAAATTATTTTAATGCAGAATAATTTTTGGATTTTGTTACTTTAGGCATCAAAGGAGATAATCATTTCATTAAAACATCATTTGTCCATTTGAGTAAAATTACCATTTTTACTCCATGTAAGTAATGAGATAGTAATGTCTTAATAGTAATGAGATATTACTAATAACAAAAGTATTAGACGATCATTATCAGTTATCACTCATCACATCGTAATAGTAATGTAATCATAGTAATGAGATATCACTGGCTGGTTTTTGGATATTAATGTAACCAACTACTACTTCAACAAACAAGTTCAGCTCAAAAGGTACTTACAAAGGAAGGAGTATACTGCAAAAATTTTAGAAATGTTTTGCTCCGATTAGAAATGAGATTATACGATTAGATTTTAACATAACATAAACTTTATAGTTATGGGATATGTTAATGACTTATGTAGATCAAATATTGTGGGCATTGCTATTCTTCTTGAAACCTGTTAAAAAATTCATTGTTCAGTTTATACCCTTCACATGCCTAGTTTGCTGTGTTTGTCATTCTTTTACTTATATCCAGTTTACGTCTGCAAGATCATTCATGCAAACTCACATGCACGCACACAACCTAGTAATTTAAACTTTGTCCCACTCTTACTAATAGAGTAGTCTTCAACAGTATTCGGAAATTTTATTGGTTATATAGAATGGACATGTTTAGTTGGTGATCTACTCATTGGGCAAGATCAAACTTCTATACTCTGAAGAGACAAGGATAAGATTTATTGCTCCATGCTAACTCTTTGCTAAAATTGATAACTGTGTGAATAAAAATTAATATCCAGCTTCAAGCTAATCAAACAAACCTTTGCTCCCATCAGGAGATCTACAAAACGACCTCACAAGCTTCATCACATAAAGCCCCTGCACTTTCTCATCTTCAACCTGTAAGCAAGCAAAGCATTATCATAAAGATCCTCACCCACCAAAAGAGCGACAAAACCAAAACCCATCATGTCCAAAGAAATAGGACAAAGTGCTGAAATCTCAAATCCTCGCCCACCAAAGGAGCAATAAAACTAAAACCCGTCTTCTCCACAAAATAAAATAAAATATAAATATTGAGGCTTTTCATAAATTGAGCTAGGAAGTTTCGGACCGTTCAGAAATTCAATCAAAGTAAGAGATACCAAGAAACATGTGAGACAATTTAAATGTGCTCTTAATCTATTATAGATCATGAATTGAAATTAAACATTGGTGACAACAGCATAAATTAACTCAAAGCACCTGAAGTAAGGAAGCAATACCAGCATCCAGCTGAGTAAGATTTACTAGAAGCATAACCAGCAATCTTCGAATAGCAGATTCAGGCTTATATAAGAGGTCCATGGCTTTCTTAACCATTCCTATAGATACCATCTGGCCTGCCAGATCTAAATTCTGTGATAAATTTACAAGTGATTCTGCAGCAGGTTCTGATACTTCCTGCAATTAGAATAATAGTAAGCCTCATACATACACAGTACTGTATGACTAATTTCACTGCAAATTATTGTTTACAACACAGTTAATGACTTATTGTGAGACACTGTTATAAGAAACTATGCTTTACCTATTATACAAACAAAATACATAGCTTTCATATAGAAGCACAGAACATTAAGCCCAATAAACAGAATGTAACTAAGAAACAATATAAGATGCCCATGAGCCCATTGAAACAATATACCAATGACTGGGGCAGCAAATAAGATACCATTGTTTACCAAAGCTGACAAACTGGACTATTCACATTTCCCAGCCATTTTTATTCTTTCTTTTATTTGTTG